TAAATGGGTGGATGGATAATAAACTGATGGCCTAATTTGCATTTTTTTAAAAATTCAAATTACCAAAACAAGTAATCAATTGGACAGAATATTTAATCGTGATTATTTTTTTCAAACAATTTGTGGGAACTATCATTTCTTTCGATAGAAAAAAGAAAAAAACCCTATTTTTGCACGAACAGTATTCGGCTGCAGTCCAAGACTTGATTTACATTTCTTTCAAGACTTGATTTTTGCACGAACTCATGGCCCTGTCCGTATTGCCCCGGCACTCGAAATCTGGTGTTTACTAAGCCTTTGTCGCCGTCTTTGCGGGGAAGACAATGCACAGGCAAGTAAAATTCTTCCCGGTTAACGATAGCAGTTACAGATGCCTTAACCTCGTTTCTCCTCTGCATTTTTCTCAGGGCAAGGCTTCGTTTGGGATCCATAGCTGACTCGCTATACAGATTCAGGCCACACGAACATGTGAGTATCTTCAGTTCGGAAGTGTGGCTGGATTTTATAAATTTGAATTTGTTATCTTGAAAGAAGGAAGAAAAGGAGTAGGAATCTGACTTAAGGGGCCAGCTGGTTCATCTAGTGCATAATTTTGATTGTTAGAATTTCTAAACACGGCCATTGCGAACAATGAACTGGTAATTGGTTTAGCATTTGTGCAAATTAGTCATTCTTGTATGCCTGTGGCCGCCCTAATGTAGTAGGGCAAATTAGTTGTCTCCTAAGATTAGTCAAGATGCACTCGCCTGAAAACTAGCCATTTAGGAATTCCCAGTGAATCTTGTGAGTTTTCATTTATTCTCCTTACTGCGATCGACAGGGGCGAAAACAGGATGCGAATAAGATGGTATTCCGTCGAGCTCTTCTCATCTCCCAAGGTAATTTATGGCAAATAAGTTGTTTGAACTTTGAATACGTCCTGCTTTGCTAAATGAGTGCATCAATTTCGTTTCTTTAGCGTGGTATGTTATATTGGTCTTCTTACGTTTGTCTGCGACTCAAAACTTTGAAAATACTTTGTTATATGCTATCTTTTCAGGTGGGACAGATCAAAGTGGCAAAACCTTTTAAAAATCACCATCTCATGTGGAAAATGTTGACATATTAATGTTTCAGTGTAGGTATTGAATATTTGGGAAATGAAGCCGAGTCAACTAAGTTCATGCAGAGACAGATTGTCGATGCACTTCGAGTGGGTGATAGAAGTAGTGCTTCCAATCTGCTCATGGAACTTGGCCAGGAAAAACACTCCTTAACTGCAGATAATTTTGTTGGCATTTTGAGCTACTGTGCAAGATCACCTGATCCACTGGTAGTTCTTGCGTTCTTTGTTATCCTCTTGAAGTTTAAAATAATAATGTTGAACTAGGAAACAACCTTTCTTCGAACTAATATTATATGTTTGTAACTTTGATCAGTTTTGATTTAGTCGTCACCTTTTATGGCTACAATTTTCACTCTCCTCGAGTAAGTAAAATGGATCAGGGTTGAAGTTTAAAATAATAATGTTGTTTGGTGCATCTATCTAAGAATGTAATGTGCTTCTGGCATGCCTATATTTCACTTGCATATCTTATGCTAGTATGGGAAAAAAGAATGATGATGACCTTATTATTTTCTAGCGACTGATGAGTGTGCTGAAGCATAAGGCTACATACATATTTATTTTTCTTGCAGTTTGTCATGGAAACTTGGAAAATAATGGAAGAAAGAGGAGTTTTCCTGGATAACACATGCACTTTACTTATGATAAAAGCACTCTGTAAGGGCGGTTACTTGGATGAGGTATAAACATGTTATACATAAACTGAGATTGTATGCAATATTTTGCCCTCACATCGAGTTGCACTATTAACAACAGTTTTCTCCTCTTGTAATAACATAGGCATTTGGTCTAATAAGTTTCCTGGCAGAAAGTCGTGTCATGTTTCCTGTTCTGCCTGTGTACAATCTTTTCTTGAGAGCCTGTGGCAAAAGGCAAAGTACGGTTCATGTTAGTCAATGTTTGGATATAATGGATCGTAGAATGGTCGGGAAGAATGAAGCTACATATTCTGAGCTACTCAAGGTTTGCAAGGAACCCGATTCCTTTTCATTTGTATAAGCTATATGTCAAGATAGTTTATTTCTTAGATTTCTTATGAACTGGTGATCATCATCAAGATACTTACAATTTCTCTTATGCATTTTACTTCTACACCAAAATTGGATCGATCATAGGCATCTTAGTATCAATCTTTTCAGTAAAAATAAATTAAAATTTGATGTGGATTCGATTCTAAATTTCTAAATGTATACTCAACTGTCCACACACTCTTGTTTAGTGTGATAAGAACATATTGATTCATAAAAAAGTATCTCTGCAGAATAAAAGGATCATGGGATTGATTCTCGGGTCATTGACCTCCTCTAAACATTGTCTCCTGTTTCAATCGCATTATGCCTTTTGGCAGGAAAGTTTCTGCTATAAGGGTATTGTTACATCATATATGTACCTGTAATCCTTGTATTGCTGTTTTGAGAATGTATTTTTGATGTAGTGAATCTGAATTCTCTAATTTATTTATAGTGAATGAATACTAAGCTTTCTTTTCTCAATCAGGTTGCAGTTTGTCAGAAAAATTTGTCTTCTGTGCATGAAATTTGGACAGACTTTGTAAAAAATTACAGTCCAAGTGTCTTATCTCTAAGAAAGTTTATATGGTGTTATACAAGGCTGGGAGACCTAAAATCTGCACATACTGCACTGCAAAAGATGGTGGCTTTGGTTATTGGAGCCGCAGGACAAAAGTTACCCTCTTTAGAATTGGACATTCCTGTACCCTTAAGAACTGAATTCTATCATGACAATTTTAATTTCGAGGAAAATGGACCTTCTACCGACGAGGTATACTGTAAGAAAATGGTCCCCTGCGAAGGTGACATAGAGCAATTTTCTGTTAATGGTATGAAGTGTGGAGAAGTTGAAAGTGGTCGAACTTTGCCAAGCAATTACAGAAGCAATTTTGTTATGAAGGTTTTGAGGTGGTCTTTCAATGATGTGATATGTGCATGTGCGCTTACTAGGAACTGTGGTCTTGCAGAGCAGTTAATGCAACAGGTCTTATTTCTTTCTTCGAGATCATTTTTGTTTAAGTATATAGCCAATGGGTACAATAGATCTTTATTAAAGATAAATTTTCATAATTTTATCTCTTGTTACTGCCATAGTAGTTGCAATCTTAAATTGTTCATACTTTCTTGGTCTTGCTCATTACTGCATTGTTAGTGAAATGATATTTTGTATTTGGTTACTTGTACCTCATGTTCATATTTTTGCACTTTATTTAGTTCAGCATTTCATGTGTACTGACGACACTAGGGTTCGTTTCTTTGAAGATGCATGAACTGGGATTGCAACCTTCGTCCCACACATTTGATGGTTTTGTTAGATCAGTTGTTTCAGAGAGAGGTTTCAGTGATGGCATTAAAATAGTAAGTTACTTAAGCTTTGGTTAGATCTTGATTATCATTACAAGATGTCTTCTACTTTTAAATGGAAAATGTATTGTCTTTATTTTAATTATGCGGCCAATGATGTATCGTTTCCCTCGACCCAAAAAAAACCCTCCTTTTCAGTTAAAAATAATGCAACAGAGGAAATTGAAGCCATATGATTCAACTCTTGCTGCTGTTTCGATAAGCTGTAGCAAGGCGCTAGAACTTGATTTGGCTGAGGCTCTACTCGAACAAATTTCAGCTTGTGTGTACCCACACCCCTTCAATGCATTTCTTTCAGCATGTGACATGATGGTAAGTTAATTTCTTTCTCTTGATAAGAAACTGAGTTTTTATTGAGAAAAAGGAAGGAATTTATAAGTGCATACAAAAAACAAGCCCACAAATGGAAGCCTCAACTACAAGAAAGGACTCCAATCCAGAAGATGGATTGGAATGATGCCAAGCTGATAATTACAAAAAAGAAAAAAAAAAAAACGAAAGTTCATAAGCGCGCATTAAATCACACCCTCCCACTCCCCCTCCAAAGTCCTCTCAGCCCTCTAAAAGTTTTACCACAACTCTCGAGCCACACTCCCCATAAGATAGTTCTGTAGCACTTGGTTGCATTAGTTGAGCCCAGCTCAGATTGTGTGATCCTTATTGCAGGATCAGCCAGAACGTGCCATGCGTATGTTGGCTAAAATGAAACAAATGGAGGTGCTTCCAGATGTGAAGACCTATGAGCTTTTATATTCATTATTTGGTAACGTGAATGCTCCATACGAGGAGGGCAACAGATTGTCACAGGTGGATGCTGCAAAAAGGATACGCATGATAGAGATGGATATGGAGAAACATGGGATCCAACACAGTCATTTCTCTATGATGAACTTGGTAAGACTCTCTCTCTCTCTCTCTCTCTCTCTTCCTTCCTACCAGGAAAAAAAAAAAAAAAAA